AGAACAAACGATCAAAAATCCTTCAAGATGATGATTTAACCATAAAAAAGTCCACTATCTGAAGAAATCATAGCGGTGGCTGGAACACAAACAGAGCGATATTCAAGCAGACGGACTGTTTCAGAAATGAAAATATTCCCCTACATCCGCATTTCAATCATTTGCAGTTATGTCTTTCAACAACCCACTGACAGCATGCAAGATTTCACCGCCGTAAACAGTTGCTTTAGAATCTAACCAAAATACTCAACAAAAGTGGTCCCCATCTGATTATCTGTATGCTTGAGACCCTCAGTTGGGATGCACGATTTTAAAGGCTAAATATTTTGATATAAACTGCGACTTCAAAATACTTTTATACGATGTGATGTCTGCCTGATGTAATTTAATGTAATTGACATTGGTCTGAAATAATTAACTTGACCATGATTTTATGTCTCTTAAGATTAAGGTTTACCAAATTTTGGAATCCATGAACGAAACGGAATTTTTATTTTGATAATTGTTGAAAATGCCAAATGGTATTCACTCGAAACAAGAAATGAATCAAAAGATTCAAGAGAGAATGAATTCAAAACGACCATGAATAGCTACTGTACTCACCTGTAACTCGCTAAATCAGGTTCATTCAGAAACTCTCGCAAAAGCATACCGTCGGTCATGTATTTGATGACTGTCTTCTCTGAAGTACAATCTTCAAATCGAATCGAATAGCCCACCTTAACGCACCAATTGATTAAGATCGCAATCTCTTCATCAAAATTTCTACTTTTCATTACAGACAAACCTGGTACCGAAATAATTATTGTTTTCGCATTGTTATGGACAAGTCAAGATGCCAAAATCCTCAGTTTCAATATCAATCTAAACCTACAGCTTTTGACAAAAAATTAAATATTATGAAAAAAGTCCTGCGAGTAATACACTTTGGAACTAAACAAACTGTTTTGAACAAATAATTAATTATTCCCCAAAAAATAACCTGATTCTACACAGAAGACACAAATTTTCCACAATACAACAATTCGGAAAGAGGTTATTTCTCTTAGAAAAAATCTCAATGAAGAGAGATTTTTTTGCAAAACTCATAATATGATTATAGGTCAAAACCGAAATTCGAAAACTAGTTAAAAATTTGAAAATGAACAGAAAATAAATAAAACCTCAATTCCGAGCTTCACGTCCATTTCTTCGGCAACCCTCGACGCCACACTCATCGCAGCCACTCGCCTCGGTTGTGTGCATCCTATACGCTTCTTATCCGAACAGAATCCCTTCAATTAGAAAACAATTATCAATGAACAATTAATCTCATTGG